GGGGGGCGAACAGGGGAAGCATATAATTCAGGTTGCTCAAGTCCTGAGTGATGGTAAACAGTGAGTTGCCATGGAAACACATATACTGGTTAAGACAGAGTTTAGGCTCTATGGAAAAAGAAGATGACTGAGCGGACCACATGAAAACACCCACCCATCCCCTAAATAAGAGGAGAAAAGGTTCGACGCATGGTCAAAGACAGACAACCAGGGATAGTAGAACAGTAGTGGTCGTCCATGATAGCACTGTTCTCAGTAGGCAGGGAAAGACCCTTTCGCTACATGCGTCCATCGCATAATGTGGGAAGAGTTCAAAGCCTTTTTCAACCCTGTCAGGCTCCTTAAAATGCAACACCTCTGATTTTAATGTCCATTTCCAGTGGAACGGAGCAAAGTTAGTAAAGAGCCCTACCAACATAACTGGCTAAACAAGGTTGTCCTCTCCATTTCTGCCTCGCATTCTTCAACCATACATGAGACGACACACGACATGAAACCGAGGGTGGACTCACGGTAAGGGAGAGCACCAGGTTGATGGATCCCTCTTTGTCGTCTCCTAGTCGGCCACTCAGCGGGAACCACTCGTCTGCCGTCTCGCCTGACATCACAGTCTCAGGGATCTTGATGTGAGCCCACGCGATGCGGTCATCCATTGTGAAAGATCGCTGATATTGAAAACACAAGGTATCAGAAATTTGTTTAAAACCTTATCCGTACACCCTGGGTTGTATTCTTCACATTTAAGAATACTTCTAGTACTAAGATCTCTTTGATACTTTGAATATTTCTGAAAAAAATCATTTTGACAGACTGCTATGCAAAGCGTGCAGATTAACGAGTAAATTTCCTCTTTGGAAAGTGGTGGCACAAAGTTCCCCCACGTCGGAGGGATACGATAGTAAAACACGATGTACTGATTGGGTTAAGCAAATATTCATTCCAGTCCTTTTCTCTCCTTCAGGCATAGACTTACAAGACGTACTGCAAGAAAATTTACAATACTACAAGGAAAGAAACTACTTGAAAATATCAATTAAGCTAAGACTGCACTCTCAATCAATTTAAAAGGTACCTGAGAAAATTTCCAACATAATGACGATACTGAATATTTCCTTCATTTAGCAAATTGCAGCAATTCAAAATGAAGCTTAACTCAGAATTCAAAGCTATGACGATTTTGTGCTATTGGAATTGGATGGCACTCTTGTAACAAATTTATAACGAAGTTGAATAATTAACAAACTGTGACATGTACAGTCAAAAAAATACTTGAAGTGCACATGCTTCAAACATTAGTGCACTCTTGAGTAACTAAAAATACTACTGACATCAAAACAGAAAAATACTTATGAAAAAAAAAATCATACTTTTGAGCTATTCAAGGACTTTACCATAATATCCAACACAAAAAATATTCTTGGATGCCATTTGACTAAAATTGTATTTTCTCAGCCTTCTAATTTGATAAGAACCCAACGACTTAGCTCTAACACTTTATACTTTAAGTTGTTAAATTTGACTCACAAGTGACTCACCTCATCAAACACCTCCATGTACATGGAATCAACTCCTACAGGCAGATACCTGACAAAGGACCAAAGGACACACATTATGACACAGAAACTTGTCAGCACGCTGATGCGACCACATCATCTCATCAACATCATTGTTCCCTCTGGGATAATAAAGTATTATCTGATCTTATCTTCTCTCTTACCTTATATTTTATTACAATTTACAACACAGCTTGCTTCTCTCTTATCTTACATATTACAATTTACCATAATACAGACATCGGGTAATTTTAAAACTTCTCAAATAAAAATGTTTACACAACATTAAAGACAAGGCTTAAAATCCTGAAGCTTACACTCTCAAATAACCAACTAAAGAAAGCAAAATTTCAATGTTGACTTTAAAATTTCACAATCACTCCTTCGTTTCAGTCAAAAAAGTAATGAGCAAACAACCCTCCCCTCCCCCCACCCCCACCCCCCACCCTTTTTAAAAAAAAGAATAGTCAGAGGAGTTACATTTTATTCTTTCAATTTAATTATTTTGCACCACATTTACTAACCCTTACCCTAACCCATTTCAGCTGGATGTAAGAAATTATTTCAAAATAATAATTCAGAAGCAGTCGAACTGTCTATAGTCTATCTGTGCACTGGGACTCACGTGGTGACCGTTTTGTTCCACCGAGGAGCCTTGGCCCCATTGTACGCTGTTGGGGTCTCAAACACGGTGTGGCCAATACGCACCCGGCAGTACGGGTCCATTTTGGTCAGTCCATAGTTCTTGGTTAGCTTGGCCTGAAAACGAATGTAACAGGAAGCACAACTTAGCACATGTATGCCATATATGGGAAACACAATGTGCATCGCAATCAACATGAGAGCTATACAATGAGAGAAGATAAGATAAGATAATACTTCATTTCCCTCTGGGATAATAAAGCATTCTCTAATCTTAAATCTTCTCTCTTATCTTACATATTACAATTTACAACACAGCTTGCTTGTTCTCTCTTATCTTTCATATAACAATTTACAACACAGCTTGCTTCTCTCTTATCTTTCATATAACAATTTACAACACAGCTTGCTTCTCTCTCATCTTACATATTTACAATTTACAACACAGCTTGCTTGTTCTCTCTTATATTACATATAACAATTTACAACACAGCTTGCTTCTCTCTCATCTTACATATTTACAATTTACAACACAGCTTGCTTGTTCTCTCTTATCTTACATATAACAATTTACAACACAGCTTGTTTCTCTCTTATCTTACATAAAACAATTTACAACACAGCTTGCTTCTCTCTTATCTTACATATTACAATTTACAACACAGCTTGCTTCTCTCTTATCTTACATATAACAATTTACAACACAGCTTGCTTCTCTCTTATCTTACATAAAACAATTTACAACACAGCTTGCTTGTTCTCTCTTATCTTACATAAAACAATTTACAACACAGCTTGCTTGTTCTCTCTTATCTTACATATAACAATTTACAACACAGCTTGTTTCTCTCTTATCTTACATAAAACAATTTACAACACAGCTTGTTTCTCTCTTATCTTACATAAAACAATTTACAACACAGCTTGCTTCTCTCTTATCTTACATATTACAATTTACAACACAGCTTGCTTCTCTCTTATCTTACATATAACAATTTACAACACAGCTTGCTTCTCTCTTATCTTACATAAAACAATTTACAACACAGCTTGCTTGTTCTCTCTTATCTTACATAAAACAATTTACAACACAGCTTGCTTGTTCTCTCTTATCTTACATATAACAATTTACAACACAGCTTGTTCCCTTCACAACCTTGCAAACCTCACACACAATACTCGTGCTTCCATAAAAAAGCAGACTCTACTGTAATATTTCTAAAAGAGATAACTACAATTGTTTCTCCACTCAATTCGTTTGGGTCGACAGTATCTCATAAGATGGCTTACTATCGTAAGTAAACGTACACAGAGGGAAAAATCAGTAAGGCAAACAGTAAGAAACAATGGGTTACAGATCAAAAGTAGAATCTACTTTTGTGGGGTCCTTCAAAAATATCACTGACACACAAAAATATATTTAAGAAAAACAAAAAATGACTTACAAAAATCAAGTTATTTTAGGGATGCAAAATGATTTTAAAATGAAAGTGAACAAGCATGAAAACTTTCAAGTCTCTTTATCGTGAACATTTGGGCATTAAGTGAGCCATCATGTGATGTTTATTCCAGCATATATATTGGTACAATGTTTTGTACACACTCAGTAATAATAATAATAATAATAAATGACATTTACATAATATAGCGCTCAACCCCGATTAAAGTACACAGGCTCTGAGCGCTTTACAATACAGTACAACGTACAACAGTAACATAAAATGGTCAACACCAAGCAAATATACCTGCACCACCGAGATGCTGAGACGACCTGCGAAGTTGGACGCGGTCACCACATGATTCATCCCTGCCTGCTGCTGAGCCTGCAGAATGCGTGCTATGCGTTCGTCTTCTTGCTCTTGAGTCAGAGGAGGACCTGTCCGAAGGAAGTCGGTAGGCAGTTCGCCAACCATTACCTGGCAAACAAAACAAACAAAAAGTAGTTGATAACAGTGGTTTATTTTTACGATTCTCTCTAGAAATAATACACAGCATGAACAATAACAATTAAGTGTCGTTCTTTCCTGTAACTAACTGTAAATGAAACGTTCAAATCATGATCAAGTTGTCAGCATGATTTTCGTTTCAGCGAGATCATCTCTCTCTCTTGCTCTTTTTTTAACTCCCAGTGGAGCACAGGCCATCAACAACATTACTCCAGCAAAGCCTGTCCTGAGCATCCTTTTCTATCTGTCATTCTACACTCCATGTTCTCTCCTCTCCTCAGTGATGAAGGTCCTCCATCTTCCAGAACTGGCAGTCGTGTTGTTTTTGCTGTTGATGTTTTTGTAGCTGCTTTTTGTTTTATGGGAAAGGGCTGCTAACCCTTTGCCCAACCGACCTCAGTCGCCTTCTACGACATGCGCGGTACGGATTGGTCCTATTCTTTGCTCCCCTGTCTCTTGGACAGGGCCCCGAGAACCACACGGGTGCGAGATCATCTAGCTCTGCAGATATTTTGCTGTAAAAGAAAACTATGATCGTTTGAATCTGATTTAGTGACTCTCCGAACACTCAATTAACTCATAACACAGCAGCTGACATTACCATGACTTCGCATGGACCTGCGAAGTGCTTGCATGAAAAATACCGCCTGACCTGACTGTCCTACACACGTCCAGTCGAGTAGAAAACTCTGGTGAGTAAAGACCTACCTACAAAGACCAGTTTTAACCAATTTCTTGGAAGATTGAAAAAGAATTGAAACTTTATATTTTCAACCTCAGATGGATGCCACAGTACAGAATGAGGTTCAAGGGATGTTGGAGCAGTTTTTAGCAGGAGTAAGAGTTTTACTACAACACTTGTATTTAATACTAGAAGGAGTTTTACGGCACTTACAAGACAATTACGAAATTTTTAGTTTTAATAGAGGTTTTACGGCGCTCGCAACTGCATAAGGTCATATGAGCTCCAGAAGTTTAGAGGTGTTACAAGAGAGTAACAAACATTAAAAAAAAGAATGGAAGATAAGGACGATAGATGTTTGATAGGAAAGAAGGAGCAAACCACACCAGAGCACCCCCCAACCACCCACTAATTACGTCATAATAAAAGTGTGGCATGGAAATGTTTAGAGGTATTACAAGAGAGTGACAAACACAAAAAAGTGGGAGGAGACATGAAAAGGACGATAGTTTGACGGGACAAAATTTCGTCACAAAGGGAGCAAACCACACCAGAGCACCCATCAGCCACCCACTACTGCACTTTCAACAGAATTTTTAAGCCATTACCCACTCACTTCCTGTGTGCAGCAGGTGGCGAGAGAGGGAACTTTTTTTTTGGATGGGGTGTTAAAAGTTGTTGAAAGCATGTTGTAAGATGCGTAATGTAATAAGTAGGCCTAATAATAAAAATGGACAGTAGGTTCCTGTGAGCGGAAAAATCAGCCAAGATCAAGAAGACTATAATATTAGATCTATTGATGAAACTGCCCAGAATTTGTTCATGTTTACCAGATCCCCTAGAATTTTTTTTTAGGTAAAGGAAGTTGCAACATGTACAAAATAAAGACGGGAAAGAGGGGGTATTGGACATCCTTTTGTGTCTTTTTAACACAAATTTCCGGCTGAGACAAATTTCTGAAGACAATAAAAAAAAAATCATTTCTCAACTCACAACTTTGAGGCGTAACTGGTTTCCTTCTCAATGAGAAATTCATGATGAGAACAAACTTTTACTTTCACTTTCACTTTCACTTTCTAAACTCTATGATGAATCAAGACGTACCTCTTTCTTTGATTTCCAAGAGGGCAGACAAAAATTATTTTCAGGAGTTCAATATTTATATAATTGAGAATCAAATAGACAAAGAAATGTGTAGAATCTCTAGAATAATTTTGAATTCTAGATGTAGCCTATTTTCCACGAGACAGTTTCATGCAATATAGATCTTCAGCGGTCCCGCCCTAACTTCATAGAAATAACTTGTCATCATTTCACCGTCAAACAAAAATGAAAGTGGAGTAAAATAGCAATAGCTGGCCGAGTTACCAGGGTGAAAAGGACATATGCGACTAAACGTAGAACGACGCAAATTTTTTTAGGTAAGGCGGCCATCTTGAGTGACGTCAGACCGGGATACCCCTCCGATCACGTGACTACATCATAGACATATATTGCTAACCGCATGGCACCAAAGATCATGTGTGTAAGAGAATCTTTGACTGCACGACGATGTTTTTCAAGGAGTACCAGTAATATGAAATGAATGCAGTGCTTCGATAATGCTGCAGCTTTTATTCTTCGGGGGGGGGGGGTAATCTTCCGGCGTCTTTACGGAAACTTTCGCGCGCTTATTAATTGAGTTTGCATTTTTACCGTGTTTCAGTTTCAATCATCACTACCGGAATTCCAAAATGTAATAATTAACATTGAACCGGAAACCTTGTAACCAATCAGTAGACCATGGCTGACGGGCTGCAGTTAGCTCTGCAAGTGTGAAATTTTACCGTGCGAAACACATCGATACGGATTACGTGCATACGGCACGGTATCTCTTTAGTCTAACGATTCCCTACTGCATGAACTTTGGTATCTCAATGGCCTTCTAAAATTAGTCTGTGGGTATCCCAGGATGTGATGACATCACATTAGGGGAGGGGGGGGGGGGGGCTACTAAAATTAGCCACCAATCAGACAGGTGCGTGGTTCTACGTTTAGGCTGTGAATGTGCGAAAAGGCCACCCAATGAGGAAAAAAGTAATGAAGAAAATTCTATTGAAAAATCGAACTAAAAAAAGAAATAAAGCTAAGATTGTACTTTACCGGACCACCGGTCAGAACTACTTTCGCTAGGCGCCCCTGGTGCCTAGTGGTCCGTTATTCTTCGTTTATGAGCTCCCCTACTCACTCTCCTGGTCAGCTTTCTACGTCCACACCCTTCGACTGCCAACAATCGACTGACGTCTCTTACCGGGTTTTTCAGTCATCACGACCGTGCCACCATGACCTTTGACCCACGACCCTGACACCTTGAGGCTAATTGGTCAATCTAATCACATGGTCCACTATTCTTATTTGCTCGCGACTCTGCTGGCTTGGCCTACTCCTGGTCCGGCAAAGCACAATGGAGGGCTAGAGATGCGCACGAGAGCTCATTTGCATATATAATTGCAACCCCCTCAGCCCTGCTCGTGACTTGGCGAGAGTATCTACCCCGATTGTCTGCTCATGCTATTGTTTATATTATGTGTGTGTGTGTGTGTGTGTGTGTGTGTGTGTGTGTGTGTGTGTCTGTGTGTGTGTGTGTGTGTGTGTGTGTGTGTGTGTGTGTGTGTGTGTCTTTAAATTATTGTTGCCAGGGGGGCTAGCCCCCCTGAAACCCCCCCTCCCCCCACTGTAGTTACATTGATATGTAAACACGACTGTCCGCTCATGTAATTGTTTCGCGTTTGTGTGTTTTCTTTAATATTTCCAGGGGGCAAGCCCACCTGAACACCCCCCCCCCCCCCCCACTGTTGGTATGATACACGGCATGGTGGTCCACCAAAGTTAAATCCCCTGCCCACTCTCAACCACCACCTCTCGCTCACCTTGCCTCGCCAGTCGCCGCTGGCTTGCGCTGTGCGTGCGCGAAGTCACCAGCGGAACTACCTTTTGTCCGCACATAGAGTAGATTCTAGATCTACTATGAGTGCGTAGTAATCACGGGCCGAGACGGTGGTCCGGTAAAGTACAATCCAGCCGAAATAAATACCCAGCCAGCATTATTTGCTTGAGATCGACTTCCGTTTTTGTTTCCAATTAGAGTCTACAAGAAATTCTAAAATTCTATGGAGGTAGGCCGGGACCACTTCTTCCGAAGAAGAGAACATTCTTTTGTAAGACATCTGCTAGGCCTAGTCTTCACATTCACTTATGTGGACTTTACAGTGCATTCAATAAAAATTATAGCAGAAGAATTACTGCCACAAGCATAAAGACAATAGAACCCATTCTAAGTCACATTAAAATACACAAACGGTGTTATAAAAAAATAAAAACAATACCAAAAAAGCCGAAAGAGAAGATAGAAAACGCAGCGGAAGACGACTAGGAAGAAATCTAGATTTAGATCTAGACTCTACTTGGAAATATCTATTTTTGCCTTCTGTGCGTGGGCCCAATAGCTGCTTCATAACACAAAACCTTGATAGCACTCATCATCACCTGATTTCTGCGATCAGCAGGGTTTCCAGGTGGGTTTTGATCCCCACTGGAGCTCATTGTTGTCTGTTCTGTTGTGCTTACTCCGTTAGTTGTCGCCATATTTGTTGATGAGTAATTGTGGTGTGATCTTTCTGAATAAAAGAGCTCCGAATAACAAGAATCTAGGCTAGCCCAGGTGGCGCAGTAGCGCTTGGAAGTGGGAAGAGAGATTAATGCCAGATTATGAGCTAGGCCCGGGCAAGTTGCTCGTTCTCCTGCTTGGTCCGTTCTTTAAATTTATACTTCACAAGAGGAAGTAACATAATAGTAATAGAACATCAAAGTAGACTGTCCTTGAATTTGAACCTTGCCACTGACTGGCAGTGGTGTTATCCAGCACCATGGCTACCTCTATAAATGTTTCAATAACGATCCAATGTGCATTAATTGGAAGCATAAAAAATCATCGCTGTGCATGCAATCAACAGGCGGTAAATTGTTATCATGAATTGATGTACTTCAAACGACATTCTACAAACTCAGAGGAGGCTTTTTATTTTTTTATTTTTTTTTTTTATTTTTTTT